CCCCCCCCCCCCTGCTTCGCCCGTGTGCGGTAGGTGGGTGCAGGAGGCCGAGTGGGAGCTGACGAGCGTGCCGGTGATCTCTCCTGACGAGTTTGTCGCAGAGGTCGGTCCGGCGGACATGTCCTTCGCGAAAGTCACGTCCCGCAAGATGGAGTAAGCGGGAACCCCGAAGAAGCTGCGTCACGGAGGGCGACTGACTGGCACAAGACAGTAACCGAAAAATGGAGATGTATACAAGCAAGACAACAGGGCACAGAATAAAAGCCAGCTTGGTCAGTTTGAAGGTGTTCTGAAACTCCCGCGTGTGTGCTCCACGATGTAAAAGCAACGGAGACCAGACCAGTGCCAACATAAGGCTGTGTCTCATTGAGTCATTCCCTTTTGAGAAACTGAGGCCATGTGTCGTGCTGGTGGAGCCAGACACCAGACACGAGAAGACATGTGTCGTCCACTCCGTGTCTTGGATCTTGAAGTAGAAAGTGTAGGGGACCCGTAAATCGCCTGGTTGCTTGAAGGTGCAGCCAAATAGGCCAGTTTGTCGAACATAGGGCACCTGAGGGTTAGCGAAGACCAAACTCCCCCGCTCACCTACCGGTTGCTAGAGCCAACTGCAGATTATCGTGTGCAACGCTACCGCAAGGCCGGGTCTTGTGAATGCCTGTTCTTAGGTCTGCATACATCGACCAAAGACTGTGTTGTGTGCATGGTGTTTCGAAGCTAAGATGCGTCCGGTTTCATGTGAGGGGTAATGGGGTGCTTTTGCGAAAGAAAAAGGGTGACACGCGTGAAGTATTGGGTGTCGACGGGGTGTCCCTCGTCGAATCGTGGCTTTTTTTATGTTATCACTCCCAGTTTTACGTTTCATGTAGATCGTTTATTGTGTGTTCGAAGATGTGAAGTATGTTCTCAGGTGGCAACGAAGTGCTTCAAGTATGATTCGGTTATGTTCCACGTATGGTGTTCTCGTGCGGTTGTCGTCGTCGTCGTAATTTTTTTGGCGTTATTGACGTTGTTGGTGTTGAAGTTTGTAGTGGTGACCTTTGTGCTGTTTCAAATACTTGATCGACCGTGACCGGTACAAGTTGAATATCCAAGTACCTACGGAGAGGAATCTCGCGACGTGAGTGTTCAAGGTGTACTGTAGTGTTTGGTACATAGTGTTCAAGGTACTGTATTGATATTGCGCTCCGTGGTATCTCCACCAAGGAAAGGTGTCGTCCGCACCCTCCGAAATTGTGGGCTGATGCCCCCTTGAGGGAGAGCAGGAAAAGGGATATTGCCTACTGGGCTTTTTCGTGTAAATGCATATGAGAGCGCCTTTGCTCCGGGCGTTAGGGGTGGGAACGCAAGTACGCTGAGGGTAGGGCGAGGTGTGTCTGTGTCCGGTGTGTGGTCTTGAGACCCACACGATTGGGCATGTTGCGCAGGAGCCGTCATTCTCTTTTTCGTCCAGCGACATTTTCGCAGGCTAAACACCACGTACAGTGGATATGTCTAGATACGTGGGTAGACGTCTTTTTTCACCTCTCTGGGATGGTCTCAGGTCATGTTGTGTGTTCCTACGTGCGTGTTGATCGACGTCGTGCGTGTAGCGAGCGTGTTAGCATAGTCGTTCGGCGTGAGCCGGCGGAAACACAAGCGCCTGAGGCAGTCTATTCTCATTATTGTCCTCATGTTGTGCAAGCCCTAGGCTCTAGGCGGGAGGGCCGCCGAGTTGTTGTGGTTGGAACACAACCGAGTGATCATCGATAGCGTGAAGGGCAACGCCACCAGGCTCATCACCCGCCTCTGCCTGTCCGTGCCCATGAAGCATACGCTGGAAGACAGAGTGTGGATGGACAGTCTACGCCCGATACCACTTTTGGTGACCGAACCTTTGCGCGGAAGGGCGGTGCCTAGGCGATATCATACGTTGGTAGCGCGTGGGACTGAGCCACTGTGGTAAGCATTCCGCAGGTGCTCGCTGAAGACGCAAGAGAGTCTGCTCAGTTGTTGGGGTTTCGGAGTACGAAGCAACTTTGTGAGTGCAGTGACAGAACAGGGTCGTAGTTGAGAGACGTCAGCATCGGGCAGAGGCCCAATTCGAATCATTGGGTCGAAGGACCATCCGAGTCGTCCATTATAGAATGAAGTTCTTGGCTGTCGCATCCTGTTGATGCCTCACGTCTTTTGCTAGCTAAACACGGTACACCAAGCCTTCATGAGGGATTGACCCGGAAAGCTTGGCGTGGCCGACAGGCTGTCGCCCTCCTAAACTCCTTGATTCCCCCCTCATGGTGCACCTCTAGCAGCACCCACGTCCCAACGCCCGTTCCTTCACCACCCGCGCTACAGGACTCAAATACAACTAACTTGGCTGTGGGGTGTGGGTAGAGCGGGTGGAGGAGTGGTGACATTAATGATTCGACACACTCCCTGGCTACCTCGGTTCGCTCCATTTTCTCGATGAATCGATTCATGTCTTGTGACCAAGATTGAGCTTTTTCGCGTAGCGGGCCCATTCTCTCAGCATGCGGTGACCTTCAGAACGACGGGAAAAAGCACTGCGTCGTACCTGGATTCCAGGTTTGATGGTGGATGGTGCGGGTGAGCGAGAGAGGCAGGCTGGTCCTCTCTCTCTCTGGCTGCCTGTGTCTGTCGCTCTCTCTCTACATATAGTCTATCTAGAGAAAACAATGACAGCATCTACCCCCCATCCAAACCTGTCCGACGAACCAGTCGTCTACACAGCTTGAGATCCCCTGGCAATATGTTTGCGACATCGCTTTGTAGTCTCTGGCTGTTTCGCCCGAGTCGCGGGGTATTGGCCCTTTCTCCTCCTTGAGCCCACAGGTGTTGCGTCCGTCTGCCACAACCCGTGGATTGACATTGTTTTCCATTTCAGAAAGAATTTCTGACGGTGAGCGAGGCGGTCGTCCTTGTAGTAGATACGGGAGATCCACACGTTCCACATACTCCTGTGTTCCGCGCGGATACCGAGGACTCTCCGCGGCCCGGATAGGCCCAGATAGGTACTACTGTAGGTTGACGCCGGGTGGGCGAGTTCTACGTTGTTGTGGCGGCATTGAACCTAGGTTGGCGTTTATGGGACAGTCTAAGTGGATGGGCCGGTATTGGTGCTACGTTGGCGTTGGTATGATAAAATCTACTTGATGTACTTGGCTGGTATTTGCTCGGACAGATGCGACAATAGTTTGTTTCTGCCGTGGGTGGGTCCTAGGTTGGGTGGTGCTTAGAGTTGACCTGGGTCGCTCTTGGGTGGTACACGGTGTTCGCGCACGGCTGAATGGGTTGAACTGCCAAGTGTGGGAGCGTCGAATATCAACCTTAGCTCTAGGATAGCGGGGGAAAGGATACGGGGAGCCCGGCATTCTTTCCTCCACTAACTTTTGGGACGAAAAATATTTGGTGCACCCCGGAGTGTGCACGTTAACCATGCACCCACACTTGACAGTCCCACGTATACAGGCCTTGCGCGAGCACAGTTTACCACCGAAGACCCACCTTGGCTTACGACGAGGACCGCCAACCTACAGTAGCACCCACCCGCGTCAGGAATCGGAACTAACCTACAGTAGCACCTGTCCAAACCGACACCCTAACCCGATTTATCGCACCACGGCTAAGCTACATCTATACCGGCCCAATTGTCAGCGTAATTTCCCTGTGCCCTAGCAGCAGTACGATGATGCAGATGCCAGGAGGCTGTGTAGCCTACCTCAGAGGTTCACACTCTGTGCGGCTCCAACCGCGAGAGACTTGGAATGGAAATATGAAGATGTTTTCATTAAGTGCTGACTCCCGAGTCAGATTGATGTTGCTGGTACTGAAGAGGAGTGAGAGGGGTGGCGAGCTTAGGGCTGCACCACTCTCGTCGAATACCGGACAAATGAACCAATCACACGAAAGATCTAGAATGCTTCCAGAATGATTCTGGAAGCCCTCCTACGCTCCAGAAGAGTATCAAGTGCAACCTAGGTCTAGAACGCTTCCAGAAGGTTCCGGAAGGTTCTAGAGAGATAGTTCCAGAAGGTTTCCAGAAGCTACACACGTTCTACGTAGATGTCCCGGTCGACCTTGACTGAGAATACCTCCCGAATATTTCTAGAACAAGAGAATACATGCCACGGAGAGATAGATCATTTTCAACTGCTACGCAGACTACTTACTGCAATCGTATTCAAAGGTCAAACCGTGTCCGACTACAGGTGGTCGCGACGCACGATTCTTCCTGAAACGACCCCTCGATCAAGCAACTAGTTCACAATGGTCAACCGCATCACCGTATCCATTTCCACCTCGACCCCTCCGTTGGCATCGTATCGAAAATAGATTCCTTTTTGTATGACGCGTATGGTAGGAAGCTTAACAGATATTATTCGATCAACACGAGAAGTCCTTGATCCGCTGAATGATGGAGGCGAATCGATGCTTTGGTAGGTGCTTGGTCGCGATATCAGCCAACTGGTGCTCGCTGGGCCGGTGGTGAAGAGTGATTTGTCCCCGCAGTACTAGCTCCCGGATGAAAAAGTACCTAAGGGCCACGTGCTTCGTGCGTTGAGAGTGCATGGCATTCCCGGCCACCGTCAGCGCTCCAGTGCCGTCGCTGTTGATGGGAACCGATCCGAATCCCTTGAAGTTGAGATTTAGACCGCCTCTCTGGCTGAGTAGCTAAGTTCTTGAGTCTCGGCTTCGACCGTGCTTGGCGCGGTAAGAGTTTGAGTCTTCGCACCGAAGCTGATGAGTCCTCCAGCGAGGAAGAAGAGATATCCCGTGGTAGATNCTGGATTACCCCAAAGGTATCGCAGAACGTGCTTGGCTGCTGTCATGTTTACTTGCGCTGGGTTGCTGCAGGCCTTGGACAGTTGTAGGGCCGCGTAAGAGAGGTCGAATCGCGTGCACTGGGGCAGGTAGAGGATGCTTCCCGTCATCGACTGGTAGATGTTCTTGTCCACGGGTCCTAGGATTTGGTCCTGAGGTTGATTCGTGGAAATGTCTGCTCCGTATCCAGGAGTGCTCACTGGGTTGGCCTCTTGCATTCCAAACCGTTCCAGAAGTGTGTTCACGTAGTGCTCCTGTGAAATGGCCAGGGTTCCTTGCTCGTAGTCTCGCTCTACGTCGATCCCGAGGATCCGCTTT